TAGGCACCAGGCACAGCAAACAGTCCGCCACAACCTTAGTGCTCCCATCTATACGCGGGTGACGGTACTGCCAAGACTGCAACGTTGTCTGCGAGGTTAACTACATTACAAGTCTCAATGCCACATGAACCTGGTTCACTGAACAGTCTGAACTCACTGACGTACAAAAGAAAAAGCACAGTTCATCCAGCTACTGTCTTTTAGTATGCTCCTTAGCTCTTTGATCATATTAAACTATAACAATAATCTTCTTTGGGCAATTAACACTCATTTTCAGATATTAAGAAGAGCTGTTGAATTAAAAACTTCAATCTCATATCTCTTTCACAACTTTTATCCCCCTAGGTCTGTGGGGATGCACTTTACTTGGCCTAGCACCTATTTTAAACAGTTTTATTATCATTCCATACAATTCACCCGTTTAAAGTATACGATTAATTCAATGATTGTTGGTATATTACATTATAATTTTTTAAGTTACGGTAATATATAGAACATAAAGTTTGCCACTTTGTCCCTTTCTAAGTGTAAAATTCAGTGTCATCACTTGTATTCACAATGTTGTGCAACCATCATTACTATTTATTTTCGAGACTTTTTCATTACCTCAAACAAAAACTCTGTAACAATTAAGCATTAACTCCCTCTCCCCGACCCCAGCACCTAGTAACTCCTAACTTACTTTCTGTCTACGAACTTGCCTAGTCTCACGTAAGTAGAATTGCATAGTATTCATCCTTTTAGATATGGTTTATTTCACTTACCATGTCTGCAAGGTTCATCCATGCTGTAGTGTCTATCACAACTTCATTTCTATTTATGGCTGAATAATATTCCATTGTATGTATATGTCATATTTTGTTTGTCCACTCATATGTCAATGCTCAGTTGTGTTGTTTCCACCTTTCAGCTATTGTGAATAATGCTGCAATGAACGCTGGCGTACAAACATCTGTTCGAATTGCTGCTTTCAATATTTTTGGGTGTATCACTAGAAGTGGAACTGCTGGATCATATGGTAAATTCTGTGTGGAGCTTTTTGAGAAACTGCCAGACTGTTTTCCACAGCAGCTGTAGCATCAAATCATAAAAGAATCTCTTCTGATCACAATGGAATAAAACTATAAATCAGTAACAGAAGCAAAACTAGAAAATTTACAAATATGTGGAAATCAAACAAAAATACTCACCAATGAGTCAAAAAAAAAAAAATTGCAGTGAAATCAGAAAATACCTTGAGACAAATGACAATGAAAAACACATCACCCCAAAACTTATGGGATGCAGAAAGCAGTGCTAAGAGGGAAATTTGCAACTGTCAATGCCTATATTAAAAAAGAAGAAAGATCTCAATCAATAATCTAACTGTGTACTTCAGGGAACTAGGAAAAATAAAATATAAGAGCAAACTAAACCCAATGCCTGCAGAAGGAAGAAAATAATAAAGATTAGAGTGGAGATAAATAAAATAGAGAATAGAAAATTAGGAAAAAAAAATCAATAAAACCAAAAATTTCTTCTCTGAAAAGATCAACAAAATTGACAAACTTGTTGCTAGACTGACAAAGAACAAAACAGAGAAGACGCAAGTAACTAAAATCAGAAGTGGCTCAGGTGGTTAGAGCACAGTGCTGATAACACCAAGGTCCAGGGTTCGATCCCTGTACTGGCCAGTCACCGAAAAATATATGATTAAAAAATAAATAAATAAAATTAGAAATGAAAGTGAGAGAATTACTATTGACTTTACCAAAATAAAAAGAATTATAAGAGAACACCATGAACAATTGTATGCCAACAAATTGGATGAAATGGATAAATTCCCCAAAACACACAATCTACCAAAACTGACTCATTAAAAAATAGAAAATCTGAATAAACCTATAACTAGTATGGAGGTTGAATCAGTTACCAAAAACCTGCCAACAAATAAAAGCCCAGTACCAGATGACTTCACTGGTGAATTCCACCAAACATTCAAAGAATTACACCAATCCTTCTTAAACTCTTTCAAAAAGTAGAAGAGAAAAGGAACACTTCCTAACCCATTTTGTGAGGCCAGCGTTACCCTGATATCCAAGTCAAAGACACCACAAGAAAAGTACAGATTAATATCCCTTATGAACACTGATGCAAAAATCCTTCACACAATACTAGCAAAGTTAATTCAACAGCATATTAAAAGCATCTTATACGATGGCCAAATGAGATTATTCCTGCAATATAATGAGAGTTGAACATATGAAAACCAAATCAATCCATGTAATACAACACATGAACAGAATAAAGGGAAAAAACTCACACGATCATCTCAATTGATACAGAAAAAGCATCTAACAAAATTCAATACCCTTTCATGATAAAAACGCTGAATAAACTAGGAACAGAAGGTAGCTTCCTCAATATGATAAGCAGACATGTACGAAAAATCCACTGCTGACGTCATACTAAATGGTCAAAAACCTATATATCAAGTCACAAAGGAAACTTAAAATTAATTTCTAGCCTTACCACACACATTTAACCTTCAAGAATTTCGTGGATTCTAACCCAGTGAACAGCTGGATCCTTCTCCCATTCATGGTTTTGTTTCTTAAAGCAAACTTTATAAAAATTTATTCATTCTAGCAGAAGTAAGGGCAGTTTGTTAATTGTTTGCTAAAATGAATTAACACCACAAATTTCTGAAAAGATTTTTATAGATAATGCTGGGTAACAATAAGATTCTTCAGACAATTTTCTTAAGTACAAATATATTTCCAATTTTCCATAACCTTTTAACCACACTGAATCACAGCCAGGTGTAACAGCAGCCTAAGAATCAGATATGGCAGGAATACTCTTCATTTATATTACTAAAAACAAATATCGACACAAAGGAGATACCACAGAATAGTATTACACCCACACTGTCCTGACCAGTGTCCTTTCCCTCCAGTTACTCAATGTAAGATGTCATCACTAACTGCCTGGTCTCTTTCCTCTGGTCAGGCGTCTGGCTCATCTGTGGCTGGGGAGAGCCCTATAAGCCATGAGCTCTTCTTCCAAAAAGGTGAGTTAGCTCATTTTGAGAACATGAGCCCCTCATTCTAAATGGCCTTTTTGCAAACAGTTGCAATTAGTTATTAGTCACAAATGAGATATGTACACTGGAGACAAATTAGTTACTGTAAGTTCATCTCTATTACTTAAAAAAAAACTCACAAAGTTTGAGGTAAATTATAAAACATCATGAGGGATGGGTTTTCTTTTGTGAATTTTCATGTTTATTTAATATGAACTAGCACCTTGTCACCTAGAAATTAAAGACATGTTTCCTTTACAACAACTGTAGTTGTTGCAAACAGCACGATATTAAGGTGATAGCTTCCACGTGTCCATATAAAATGTTGGCTCATAAATACATCAGAAAGGCTGAGTACCCCAATCCAAAATGATTGGGACCAGAAGTGTTTCGTATTTCAGATTTTGGAATATTTGCAGAATACACACCAGTTGAGGATTCCAAATCCAAAAAGCTCAAACGAGCACTTCTTTGAGCATCATGTCAATGCTCAAAAAGTTTTGGGTTCTGGAGCCTTTCAGATATATTAGGGATGCTCAAATGTATATAAAATAAAGATCTGTTTTGCCTTAAAACTTCTCAACTTAAGGGCCGGCCCGGTGGCGCACTGGAGAGTGCGCCGCTTGGGAGCGTGGCGGCGCTCCTGCCGAGGGATCGGATCCCATGTGGAGACCGGTTCCCGCTCACTGGCTGAGTGTGGTGCGGGCGCGACACCAAGGGTTGCGATCCCGTTACCGGTCAGTAAAAAAAAAAAAAAACTTCTCAACTTAAAAAAAATGAGAAAAAAAACAGACATGATGATGTGTTAGTCTCAGCTAAAACCACAGGATTTATCCTTTACTATGTGTACTCCTTATAGAGAGATTTAAGAGACATGGATTAGTGCAGTGATTTAAAAGCTTGCATAATATTGTTTTAAATTACAACTTTTTAGACCAATGTTTTCAAGAGAGTATCGTATCATCACTTTAAGGGAAAAGGCCTAAAAATATCTTGAGCTGGAATTGCTAGTCTCACACAAAATATTTTCTAAAACAGGTTCTCTGCCTTGGATCCTCTGAAAGTGATTTTGTGAAGGACATCCTAGCAAGGTTGCAATCATTTAACTGAAAATGCTATTTTGCAGGAGAGAAAGAAACATTTAATGACCACAGCAAGAAAAGAAAACCAGAGCAAAGCTCAGTGTTATGTACCTTCCAGAATGTGGAAGAAGATTGAATTTTTAAGTATATGAATGGTAAATTTATCTTGCCACACAAAGTGCTAAGCTAGACTTTTCATGAACCTCTATTATTGGAAGCAATGAAAACCCGTTGCTGAAAGCAAAGAAAAAAATCACCTACATACACCCAACTCCATGTTGGCATCAATAACCTAATACTGGATTTAAGATCTTTCTTTGCAAATTGCCTAATCTAATTTCTTTTCTTTTTTTTTTTTTTTTTTTTTTTTTTGTCCTTTTTGAGACCGGCCGCACTGCGCTCAGCCAGTGAGCGCTGTGAGCGCACCGGTCATCCCCATGTAAGATCCAAACCCGCGGTGGGAGCGCTGCACTCTCCCGAGTGCGCCACGGGCTCGGCCCTGCCTAATCTAATTTCTAACTGTGCTTCAAATGTTCTGATATTTCATTGGCAGAGAAAGTACTAAAAGATTTCATATCAACATTTCATAGAAAATTAGCTGAACATAACAGTAAGCCACTGTCATTTATCATTTAAGGTTAAATAAAATGTTAACACCAATTTAAAAACCTTAAGGTAAACTGGGTATATAATCCATTTATCTCTTTCATTTCTCCTGTAAGGTTTCACAGGAGAAAGGGCACAAATTATTCTACTTAAAAGAAGTGGTCTTTTGGAAGAGTGCAACTGTAAGTAGAGATTCCAAGAACAGAAGTTGGGGGCAATGACTATCCCGTCACAGAAGGGCGCCTTACCCAGGTTGTGCCGTTTCGACTTCGCATGTTCGTGAATATGTTTCTTTGTGAAACAGCCAAAGAAGACACAGTAGAGGCAAGAGTGCAGCCTATTCAGGTGGACACCACAGACATGGCAAACGCAGGACTTGGCCTGAAATTCAGAGAAGAGAATTAATAAGCAGTGTGTGACAAGAGAGGCATTCTCAAAGGAAACCTGCAAGCACAACCCACAACTGGACAGCTAAGGGAGGAAAGGATGGGAAGTTCACCTCAAAGCCTCACTACTCTAAAAGATTACTTCGTTAACCTTTCAATTCCCCCAAAAGGGACTGACTTCATTTAACTTGAAACTAGCTCCATACCAGAAAACTCAGCCAACATCAACTACCAGAGCTACTGGAATGTTCACCACATTCTCCACCCAAGTCCCAACAGGTGCCCACACCCAGCTCCTGTCCCCACTCCAGTAGCAACTCCTGAACCAGGATATCATTTAGGTTTGATAACCCAAATTCTGGGCCGACCCCGTGGCTCACTCGGGAGAGTGCAGCGCTGGGAGTGCAGCAGTGCTCTGCCGTGGGTTCGGATCCTATATAGGGATGGCCGGTGCGCTCACTGGCTGAGTGCGGTGCAGGCGACACCAAGCCAAGGGTTACAATCCCCTTACTGGTCACAAAAAAAAAAAAAAAGATAACCCAAATTCTAAGACCACAGCAGGGACATGAATCAAACAAACATACAGGGACAAGAAAAAGGAAAAGCTTATTACCAAGAAACAGGCCACAGAAACCTAAAATTTCAATCACGGCAATTACGAGCACCAGTGGTAAACAACTCTTGTACACCCAAACCACCCGACACCACCAACTTACAGCCCTGACAGGGACATGTAAAAATGAGTAGGAGACAACGTTAAGAATTCCCACTGGGCAGTTCTGGTACAAGTTAAGCATAAAAATGAATAACAAGAATGATTATTTATACTGAATTAAAAAAAAAGAACCCTAAGTCCATACTGAAATTAACACTATAAACACACACATTCTTCAAAGGAGTAGGAAATGTAGTAGGAAAGACAAAAATACAAAATCTTCATTTTATAATCTTCATAGAAATCTGATTCAGACAAGAATCATCAACGAATGTTAAACCATTGGGTAGAAAAATACTGGGTCATTCACAAAAGCCAAAATAGTGGAAACGGCCCAAACACCCATCAATGGATGACTGGACAAACAAACTTGTGCAGACATGATTGAATGTTATTCCACCATGAAAAGGAACGAAGTACTGATCCAGACCACAATATGACTGAACTCTAAAAACATGCTAAGTGAAGGAAGCCAAACTCAAAAGATCACATTTACATGAAATGTTCAGAATAGGTGAATGCACCAAGACAGAACTGAGACTGGAGGTTGCCAGGTACTAAGGAGAGGGAGAACAGGAAGCGATGAAAATGTTTTGTAACTCGAAGGAGGTGGGGTGGTGACCGCACAGCGCTGTGAATGCACTACATGGCGCTGAACTATTCACTTTACGGGTTAACTGTGGGGGTTGTCCAGTCAACTCAGCTGGTTAGAGCACGGTGTTGGTAACCCGGGTTGGTAATCCAGGGTTTGATCCCTATACTGGCCAGAAACCAAAAAAAAAAAAAACCATAGTAAAATGGTTAATTTTATGTTATGTGAATTTCACCTCAGTAAAAAAATACATTAAATTATACGTATGTATGTATCTCTCTGCCTTGGGGCACTGGGTATTTACAGTTTCAAAGTATCATCCCAGATACTACTTCTGCCAATTAAAAGGGCAACAGTTACCTTTACAACAGAGGACTCTGGCCAACACCACCTTAACCAAATGTAACCCATGGGCTCCAGCAAAATAGAGGACCCACGGGGTGCTCCTACAAATGAGGCTCACCTTGAATCTGCTCATGAGAAACACTCAGACAAGTCCAAATGGAAGGACTTTCTGCAAAATGACTAGCCTGAGCTCTTCAAAAATGTCAGTGTAATGAAAGACAACAACAGGTGGGGAATTCTAGATAAACAGAATCTAGAGAGACATGAAAATAAATACTGGGCATGATCCTGGGCTGAATCCTATCTGCAAACTTTCTGATTCATAAAGGACATTATGGACAACTGGGATATTTAACCATGGACTGTATATAGTCATGCACTGTATACAGACCACATATACCATGGTGGTCCTTTAGGATTATAATGGAGCTGAAAAATTCCTACCACCTAGAGACATCATAGCAGTAGCCATGGTAATGTTGTTGCACAACCCATTATCTTTATATGTTTAGACACACAAATACTTATCATTGTGTTACACTTGCTTACAGAATTCAGTACAATAACATGCTGTACAGGTTTGCAGCCTAGGAACAGGCTGTACCATATATCCTAGGGGCATCGTCCGCTACACCATTTAGGTTTGTGTTAGTACAATCTATGATGTTCACATGATCAAATTGCCTAATGACCCCTAATGACAGCATGTATCCATGTCGTTAAGCAACACATGACTGTATTAGATAATTCTATTATATCAAAATTAAACTTCAAGTGTGATCATTGCATTGTGGTTATGTAGAAGAATGTCCTAGTTTTTAGGAATGCACTTACATGTAAACTATCATGAAGTCTACAACCAACTCTCAGATGATTCAGGAAAAAAGATATTAAAGGCATAAAACAAATGAGCAAAAATTTAACAATTGATGACTCTAGATAAATGTATATGATATTCATTTTAGTATTCTTACTATCTATTGTAGGCTTATTTTCAAAAACGTATTAAGGGAAAACTATTATGCTGAATTTTTACCTTATTGCCAAACAATTCCACTCCCTGGTTTATATACCACAGAAGACACGTAAAAGAATGTTCATAGGCACCTCTTGCAGAGTGACGGAGACACAAAAGGTTACTCAAAGCCCATGTATTCAGAACAATGGGAAGCCCAAAGGGACTGCACCCAGGGAAAACCCCTTCAAGAGCGGAGAGCCGGGGCACAGCCCCAAGTCAATTTTTGCTTCAGTTTTTATTGTAAAGACAAGGAAGTTATAGAAGAAAAACAGGTGGTTAATCACTCATAGTGAAAACAAACAAACTGGCTACGTGACAATCTTCATTAAAGCAGGTATAACTTAAAATAGTTCAAGCAATTTACCATCAAAAGGAGTCATAAAACTAAGCTATGTGATGTACAAAAAGAAACAATGAGATTAATCACCACAGCAGTGCTTAACTCCCCAAGAATCTCAAAGAAACATCTTAGGGTAAGATGTGGAACATCCCCCAAGCACTAACTAGCAGAATATCCTTGAAGATTTTAGCTCACATACTTTCCCATCATTTAGGTTTAGCTACACCAAGGGCAACTGCCCCCAGAGCAATCAATTTTCACTGTGCTTCAATTCTCTTATCTGTGGTAAAGGCTTTAGTTCTGTGAAAGTTTTCTGGTCTTCATCTTAGCATTTCTACGTATTTTTGTAAAGGGTTGAGCTTTGGCCCCCTAAGCTAGAGGCTCTGGCCTCCTAAACTACAGGACTTTGGGTCCTTCTAAACTACAGGCTTTGGTCCTGTGAAATACATGTGTTTTATTTCTATCTCATTAATGTCAATATCCTCCACAGTTCATAGCAATATTATTTGTGATACCCCAACACTGGAAATAAACAAAAACATTCATCAGTAGTAAAAAGAATAAATTGTGGTATTCAATAGAATGCCGTGTAGCAATATAAAGGAATCTTTGGTATACTTAGCAACATGGGTAAATCTCACAAATACAACACTAAGTAAAAGCAGCTAGACACAAATAAGTATATACGGTATGCTCCCATTATATGAAGTACAAAAACAGGCAAAGCTAACTGATGGTTATGCAAGTCTGGATAGTGGATACCCCTGAGTGTGGAGGGTAGGGCCCAAGAACGGGCAAGAGGGGGTTTCTGGAGTTTGGGGTGCTGTCCTCTCTCCTCTGTGCAGCGGGGACATGCGTGTGTTCACTTTATGAAAAGTCACCAAGGTTTACACTTCCTTTAAGAGGAGGAATAACAAACCATAATACAAAATAAACACACACAGTGGTAATCTATGTGGGTATACTAACAGATATAGATGACATACTATGAAAATTAAAAGAATCATATCTGATTAAGGAGAATTGAGGGGAATCAGAAAAGTTTGTATACAAAAGGTATAATTTCAGCAGAGAGATCAAAATTTTACAGAATTCTATGGAATAAATGTTTCTTTCTTATAAGGGGTATGATATCAATTCACATGGAATAAACAGAATCCCTGAGAGATTCCCTAAGAGAAAGAAGAAGGAAAAAGTACTCATTAAGGACCTAATGTCTTCCTCTGGGTGACTGTGTTTATATGTTTACAGACATTTACAGAACTCAGATGCTCAACTGTAGGGGGTTCACCACTCACCAGTAAAGACATATTTTACTGGACTGATGGATTCAACACAGTGAAGAGATAGCTGCTTCTTCTAACATCAATCAAACAGCAAACCAACAAAGCACTTGGCACTAAATACAGAATTCAGAAAGTTGTCTTTGATATATTCATAAAATCTTAACTATATGTCTTTTGTATTATTTCTCTACATATTAGCACTGTCTGACAGAAACATTCTAGAATGTTGGAATGTTGTACATCTGAATTGTTATAGTAGCCACCAGCCACATGTAGCTATCAAGCTCTGGAAATGCAGGCAGTGAAACCAAGAAACTGAATTTTAAATTTTATTTCATTTTAATTTGTGTAAATAGCATATGTGGCTAGTGACAACTATATTGCACAGCTCAGTTCTAGATCCTAAAATGGGCATTATTAAATTACAGAAAGTTTTTTATAATATGTGTCCTGAGTTCATTTACCACAGAAGATAAAGTTACTCCATAAACTAGAGTAGCTGAAAACTGACCTTAGATATCATAAGACTCATAATAATTACATTTGTAGGTTTGAAACCAATATTCAAGATGTTTAAACAAAGGCAGGTGATTAACCCCCAGATCTGTGAATGTCCTGATTTGGAAAAAGCTAAATTAAGGGTCCTGAGATGAGATTATACTTGATTATCCAGGCAGGCCCTAAAGGCCATGACAAGTA